TAGGAACTATTCGGCGACAAACTTGAGCGTTTTCCCGATAGAGGCGCTGACCAAACTCCGAAGTTAGTTCGGGGTACTCGCCACTAGATGGCTTTGGACTTGAAAAAAAATAAATTATTAATTAACTATTATTCCAAGCAATAAACAGATATAATAGACGTGGCATCTAATAGATAAAAGATTCCGGATCCAGTATGCAAAGTCCGATTACAATCGAGTTCCTAGAAATCGATAATAACATAGTTTTGACCGCTGCCCGGAGTTTTAAAACATCGGAATATTAGTGCGACCCTCTCATCGCGAGATGGCGATACTATATTTTTTACTGATTTTCATTATAAAACGATAAAACGTAATAAATTATTAATGCATTAGTGAAAGGACGCATGTTTTCTTACAAACATCATGAAACATAACTCCTTCGCGGATACTGTCTTAATTTCTGCTGATTATTTCTCTTGTGGATAACTACTTTTACTAATGTTTCAGACCAGTTGGAAGAAATCACAATTTCCTTCTCGGATATTCGGATGATCGCTTGGGAACTCCACGGATTCGCTGACTGTCGCTTATGCTAACGACAAGAATTTTAATCAGGGATTATAATTGTTAATTCGTTAAATGATGCGAAGTATCCCGCCACAGCGGGGGTCGGTCGTTTCCGTCGAGACTACGTGCTTCCTTGGTTCTCGGCAATTTTAAACTTTTCCCTTTGAAAACAGTTGAATATGTGACGATTTAATTGATGCCCAATTAAACTTTGAATTATTTTTATTGCACACTCTCAACGGAACCTTTTCAAAACTGTGCGTTCGCGACTTGTTCCTCCCCGATGCGGAGCGAGAAAATTGAATTTGAAATTTTCAGGTTGAACGGTGGCTAAAATGATTAACTATCGTACGTGCCCGAACGGATACGTGCATCTGTCGGTTATTCGAGGTTTCGATAGGTGGTCAGACATATAAGCAGAAAGGAACAGGCGGTTGCTTCGTCGCTGGCGAATCTTTTCGCGGTTAAATTCCATCTATCGCATGTTCGGTGGTCGTTGCACGGTCAGCGGCAATTAATTCGTTTTATATCGTTGCCAATGCGAATGAAGGTTTCGGTGAAGTATCCAGCAGACGACCAAATTCCGAAAGGATTTCGAACAGTAAAGAGTTTCGAACTGATACATTTGTAACGAGTTTTTAAATATAAGTTTCTTTAAAGAATATCGCGCGACACGTACACGACGAATCTAACCGCGCCATCGATTTGATCGATGCCACTTGCCGATAGTTGTCCCAGAAACCATCAGAAGTTTTCTAGATAGACTTTCCCCGTGAAGCGACTACGAGTTATATGAAAAGTGCCAGATTCTCGCGGTGCAGAGCAAACGAAAGTTTCCCGAAGATTCATCGTGAACATTACACGCGAGCAACGTCACCAGACGATTACCAACTTTCCGTGGATGCCTCGTAGTTCTCGGTGGCTCTTTGACTGGATCGCGTGCGTACAAATGCTGGAAGGAAGCCACCGATGTCTCCAAAGGTTCTCGCGTCGCGATTCTGAAATCGGAGTCCTCTTCGCGGTGATGGATGAGAGGACGCAGACTTCGCCGACAGTGCAATACCAACTTGCCGAAGGACGACCTGGATGCAACACGTGCAATCCGAAGCGTCTTTCTCGCGCCTCGGCGATATTGCTGGAAACAAAGAGATAACAGGAAAAGTCGGAAAACTGGAGACCTGGACACCTAACGGATTCCCTCGACGTGGTAGCAGTCACGCTGTTCAACGATGAGCTTAAATTTCAGCCATGCATTATCAGTTTTTGTGGATGCAAATTATTCGTGTAAAGAAGTTCACGCAGGCCCAAATATGGATATTCGTTGGATGTTTGATAATTCCATGGAGCCGAGAACTTGGACGAGAAGCCAAGTCTACGTGGAAGACACGTCGGTGGAAAATGTTGCTCCGAATAGTTTCTCTTTTGTGCTGCATCGAGTAATGTTACATCCTTTTTACAAAGTATTCGATAGCAGGTGAAATATCTAATTTCCATTTCGAGGCTAATTACACGAGAAGAAATGCATTTCGAGCGGTGAGCATGGGATGCGATTTACAGCCAGCGGTGTATGCGATTAATGGAATTTCCGTTTCGCGGTGGAGTAGTCACGCGAAAGAAAAAAATCGCATATTTCAGTGCTGTCGGCTAACATAACGTCATTGATTAAGTTTCGATTATGCGGGACTTGGGTTTCAAGGTATTCATTCTTGGTAAAAATTCCATCGCGATTCTCGTCGCTACAAAATATTTTCTCGTCCTCGTCCGTGCCTGTTTATCCTCAATTTACCGTGCCGAGGTGGAAACGGTGGCACGGATTTACCGTGTAATTTTCCATTCTCTCTTTTTCCTCGCTCTACCGTCCTTCCTCTTGTCGTTCCTCTTCGCACGTCCGCTGCCGCCATCCGTTCGTCACCTGCCATTATTTATTACTTCGAAACGTCGAAGACATTTCGTTCCATTCCGGTGCTACCGAAAAATTTCGTTCGCCAACGATTCGCGGGATCCTTCCGTGGTTATCCTCGTGTACCTCTGGTTCGTTCCCCTCCCCACGAGAATAGAGACTTCAATTTTTGATCGCGCATCCCGCCATGATTTTGGTACTAATTTGTATTTCAAACTATCGCGCGCGGGTAAAAGCAAAATCAATTTACTCGATCTGTGGCAACCAGCCCGGCAAGTGTTAATTACGAGAGAGTAATTAGCAGCCAATTAATTTGAAGATATTATTACCGAATATTTTTATTTTGTTGTTTACTCGTCGATCAAATATATATCGATGAAATAACGCGCGTCGTTTAGTGTTTCCAAAATTTACAATTTTCATTAGTAATTACACATGTGAAACATAAGACAATATACATATTTGATACTTGATTTGATACCGATGACTGAACAGTTTTATTTCGATAGCTAATAAAATTTTTTTACCAACGTTTGAACAATATTAATACCTGCTGAAATAAAATTCCCAATATTTTCCCAATCGGAAAATTTACGACGCGTGTTTGCGCAATACCATCCGCGTCGGTGATCATTCATTGAATTATTTCGTAATTTACACTTGACGCTGGAAAATTTGTCGATATACTCCGTCGAGCCGTAGTCTTTTGCATCCGATGCTACGATGAAAAAATTTATGTTTGCATTCCAATAGCAATCTTTAAAGGTTCACCGCGGGACGTACGCTGTACGCTTGTTTGGTATTTTTTCACTAGAATGTTTTATCGAAGTTTTTAAAAATACACGTCTCAAAGGGCATTTTAAACGGGGTTTCTGAAAGAGAGAAATTTTCTTTGACTAACACGCGAGAGATAAAAAACAGAGAATCGATATATTCGCGTATCCGTTCGAAGGGAATAGCCGAACGCGTAACGAATAAAAAGTTGTTATTATTCGCTAATTCATCGATGGATCCGTATAAGATATCGCCCATCTCGGGTGCGCGCTTTTGCACGGCAAGCTGGGTGTTCGAGAGGGGATGAGAATAGGAGGACAGGGGTGTCTTTGTCGCGCTGCCGCCTCACATGTCGAACTTATGAAAATTAATAAGAAAAATTGCCCATAAATTCAAAGTCTCGTTCGCGGAACAGCTCCGCAAGCCGCATCTTGGCTTGGCAATAAAATTAGAATTATGTCGGTCCTCCCTCCAGGAGCGTGGCCCCCTCGGTGTCGGTGGTTCGACGATGCGAGACAGGCCCGTGCTCGCCGAGGGCTTGGCAGCGTTTGTTAGCTACGCTGGAATGTGTCCTCCGGATCCTAACGTATGAGTTACCCCGCCAAGATTACATCCATGTCTTACGCGGAGCCGTCCCTGCGTCAGAACCTATGGTTATTAAATTCTACGCTTCCTCCGTGTATCTTCCGATCTGACGTCCCTTCAGAGCTGCTCGATTTTCTTCACGGGGTTGACTTATCGCCGCGGGATCTCGGGGACAAGCAACCGCGTAGAGCGACGGTGGTTTTTCATAGAGAGTACAGCGACCGTTTCGCGTTGCCGTTTTCATGAATCTTTTAGGAGCACGGCTATTGCTCTTAAAGGAGAC